GAAAGAACACTGAACCAAAAGCCTCATTTCCTGTCTGGGCCTGGAGGTTTCCTCTTCCACCCAGGAAGGTGACAGCCCTGAGGACGCTCCCTGGCTGCAGCCGTCACCCCAGGCTGGAGGGAGGTGGGCAGGGGCGGGGGGTGGGGAGCTGTCAACGGCAGAGGACCGGAGCACCTTCCTTCCCTCCCCTGGGAAAGGGCCAGGGTGCTTCTCCCCAGAGGCTGTCCCTCTGCAAGGGGTCTCCCCTGAGACAGCTTAGACAGGGAGAGCTTTGAGTTTGGGGACCCTGAGCAGTTTGCAGATCACTCTTCAGGACTATTCAGGTTTTGATGAAGGAAGGTGGGGGGGCGTCCAAGGTGGAGGAGGTAGGGAGTAGCTTTTAAGCCCTTGCGGCTTCCTCAGCAGAGAGGGCTCTGGCCTGTTAAGTTAGAAAGGAGGTGCTGGCCGCAGGGGAGGCCACAGCATCCTGGGAAGGACACGTGTACCCCCAGGTGCGCGTGGATGTCTGTGCAGCGTGCGTCCTTGTGAGTAGGCGGTCCACATGCTCGCTCCCCTCCTCAGGCTACCTCCGGGGGCTCCAAGCCTGCGATCACAGAGGGAGGCTGGCCCCTCACGGCCGGGCCCGGACCCCGGGACCAGGAGAACCGCTGGAAGCAATACCTGGAGGACGAGAGGATCGCGCTCTTCCTGCAGAATGAGGAGTTCATGAAGGAGCTGCAGCGCAACCGCGACTTCCTCCTTGCCCTGGAGAGAGGTGGTGCCCCGGGTGGGGCGCCGCAGCCGCTGCTCCATGGCTGAGGAGGGGCTGATGTTGGCTTTAGCCGTGGGGCTCGGGGTGGCCTCTGTGCTGTTGAGTTATTCTGGTGGGAGCCCCAGAATTCTGCCAACAGGGACCTGAGTCACCAGCCACCGCTTCCCTCCTCTGGAACTCAGAGAGAGAGAGGGGTGCCCTTCCCTTGCTCCCCTGCCTGTCTGCTCTGTGCCAGGCACTGGCTTCGGCACCATGTGTCTGGAGCTCCAGGAATAGAGTGATTGGGTCCGTGGGTGCCTCCCTGAGCAGAGGACATTAGAGCAGGGGTGCTTGAGTTTTTTGGGTGTTTGAGTTGTCCTTGGGCCCAGCACTCTACTGCCCCCAGCCTGGCTGCCTTCCCCTTTCAGGGTGGGAGTGTTTGATGGGGGTACAGCGAGGGGCCTGTGGGAGAGGGGTGTGTGTGTGTGTGTGTGTGTGCGCGCGCATGTGTGTCTGACTGTGTTTTGGGGGAGGGAGCACGGTGTGCAGGGAGAAGTCTGGCCTGAGACAGAGGAGGCCCAAGGCTGGTCCCAGCTCTGCATTAAAGGTGCTGGGGGTCTCAGGGTCTTTCCTTTTAAATGAAGGGCTGGACTGTCTGACTTCCCAGGGTCTCATTTTGACATTGTGACACTGCAGGTGGTTGTCAGGGCAGTCGTTTCTGTATCTTTGAGGGTTCTGGTTCTTTGAGAGCCCGTAGGCATCGTGTGTGCACATGTTTCGTGTGTGCGTGCGTGTGTGTGTGTGTGTGTGCGTGCGTGTGTGTGTGTGTGTGTGTGTGTGTGTGTGTGTGTGTGTGATTCTGGGGTTTTGGCCTCTAACAACCTCCTGCATCTCAGCGCAGGCTGCCCCTGGGTGGGAGCTAACTTCCCCGACCAGAATGTGGTCCTTTTCCAGATCGATTGAAATACGAGTCCCAGAAATCTACATCCAGCAGCGTAGCTGTGGGAAATGACTTTGACTTTCCCGCTCCTGTCCCAGGTAACCTTGCCTTCCTAAGAGAGAGGCCTGGAGGGTGTAGGGGGCTCACACCCCAGCTGTGGTTTGCATATTTGGAGTTTGGGGGTAGGCTGAGGAAACAGGCTTCTCCATACTCGCCGAGAGGGAGATGGCCCCTCCACTCAGCAGCCCCGGGTTCTTACCAACCCGGCGGCTGCTGCAACCCACGCCCGGGATTGGCCAACGGACTGGCTGAACTCCTTGGAGGTGCCTGGAGCACGGGCAAGAAGGGGACGCACCACACCACGTAATGTCCCACAGGGTGTCGGAGGTGGGGTGGCAAGGGACTCAGAGATTGGGTCACTGCCCCGGGGGAGCTTATGGTTTTACTGGGAACGAACACTGGAGATGCATCCGAGAAACAGGCAGAATGAAGCCGCAAGGCTGAAGACACACTTGTTAATGTGGCAAAAACATGTTGGCAGGGAAGGGCAGGATCAATCTGGGAAGAGTTCATTCATTCATTCATTCATTCAGTAGCTGGGGAATATCTGCCACAGGCCAGGCTCTGCCTTAGTGTTGGAGGAATAGAATTGGAAGCTTCATGTCCAAGGTGGTGAGAAGCAAGAATTGCCTCAGTGGCTGAAGGAGGGCCAGGGGTGGACAGCAGGCTGCTGGACTGCACGGACGAGGGTCAGGCTGGAGCTGGGGACACCCTGAAGGTCCCGGTTCCATACTCGACATCTGGACTCTGCCTGTGTGTGTGCACAGTGGCCCCTGGTCAGCCAGTGCCCACCACACACACACACAGGCTGCCCGCCTCAGAGGAAAAATCTGCAGCTCTTGCCTGAAACAGATCTTACATTGCTTGGTAGAATGGGGGAGGGGGGCAAAAGGATGAGGAGCTCAGCTGATCCCAGCTTGAAGAGAGAAAATCCTGTCGAACCGATTAAGCGACAGGCTGGGAGCTTAGGTCCCACCAGATACGCATCTGGGGGTTTAACAGCAGCCTCTTGTCCTTGATCCCAAATTACCCATAGACACCGGGACCGCTGAGGTGGATCAGAATGACTCACAGGGACTTAGCAGGCAAGGTGACTCGGGATTAGCTTGGGAGCTTTAGAAGGGCAGTGAGGGGCCCAAGTGGGTGCTGAGTGAACGGGGAGACTCGGCGCACCATGTCAGGACGCAGGCAGGCTGGCCACGTGCTGGTGAATGTGTAACAGCCTGTCGGGGTGCAGGGGAAGCCCCAGTGCTCAGCATCTGGTAGCTTCCATGGTGTAAACACTCCCGTCGTGGCTGATTTCAAGCTACTAAAGGGCCTTCACGGAATGCAGAGTGGTCAGAGGAACGGACAGTTGGGAGCCTGCGGGAGCCGGCCCTCCACACATACAGACCAGACCACTGACCCTTTTTACAGAAAAGGGGAGAGTGAGGCTTGGGTGGGGAAAGAAATGCGCCTTGAACCCCGGTGTCCTCCTTGCTTTAAGCTCCCTCCCGGTTAGGGCAGAAGCCTGCTCTTTGCTCCCTTCCTCAAGTGGAAGGGTGGGGCTGAGCCCCTGTCCTGTGGGGACAGCCCTGACCCCCCTCCCCGGGCCTTGGGCAGCCACTGGCCCTCAGAGGTGTCTTCCCCCTTCCAGGAACCAGCGACAGCAACCCCGCTGCGTCTGAAGATGCCTTATTCAGGGACAAGTTGAAACACATGGGAAAGTGTGAGTCCAGCGCACGCCCCCTCCCCAGCTCTTCTAAGACAGGCCTGTGGCCTCCTGGGAGGGAGGGAGCCACCCGGAATTTTAATGCAGCTGACTCTTGGTGAACCAAAGTGACATTTTAATCACGGGCTGGCTCCCTCAGCTTTCCTGCCTCACTTCCCTGTGCAACTGAGTCTGGATACAAATTAAGTTTTAAATCCTCTTGAGCCATCTGTCTGCAGAAAAATAATAATGTGCTGGACACCGCGCCCCCCTGCCCCCCGCCGTTTTAGAGTTCACATTCTCTGTGGCTTGATGGGGCTTGGCCGGGCCGGGCCTGAGTCGGGAGGCTCAAGCTAAGTCCACGTTCTGTGGGTGGGCGGTCCACCGGGTCAGTGGCCCCTTCCCACAAAGTCCTGCCAGCCGGGTCCCGCCTTCCCCTCCACCCCACCCCCCAGACACACAACCATGCGTGAATGAGGCTGCTATCCTTTCAGGCTCCATTTCAGAGAAAATCTCGGATTAGTCATGGAAATCCCAGAACCAACCCTGGAGGTGGAGAGGGGAGAAGGGGAGGTGGCAGGAAGAAAGCCAAGATGCGAAGCCGGCTGTCACAGCTGGGGAAGGAGGAATACCCGGATCTCAGCTGCTGGCTGCGGTCCCTGGCCGGGCTCTCGGTGGCCTGTGCTGCCTCTGCCGGCCGACCCAGGATGGCAGCCTCACTCCGCCAGGGCACCAGCCTGACCCCGGTCTGCGATTGCTGTCACCTCTTCCCCTCCCCCACCAGCCTGCCCACCTGCCGCAGTCCTGGGGGGCAGCTACCTGCTGCTCTGGCTGCCCGCTCACAGGTCTCTCTGCCCCTAGCCACCCGGAGGAAGCTGTTTGAACTGGCCAGGGCCTTCTCGGAGAAGACCAAGATGAGGAAGTCAAAGAGGAAACACTTGCTGAAGCATCAGTTGTATCCTTTCCAGCCTGGCACTGGGTGGCAGCGGTGGATGCTACGGGTGCTGAAAACCCTGGGCTGGACTCCCTGAGGCTGCACCCTCCCCCGGAGTGGGACCGGGCCGTGTGACTCTCCCTTCTCCCGCCCTGGGCCCTGCTGCCAGCCTGGCGCTGCCCTATCTCTTTTTTTTTTCTTTTCCGGTACGCGGGCCTCTCACTGTTGTGGCCTCTCCCGTTGCGGAGCACAGGCTCCGGACGCGCAGGCTCAGCGGCCACGGCTCACGGGCCCAGCCGCTTCGCGGCACGTGGGATCCTCCCGGACCGGGGCACGAACCCGTGTCCCCTGCATCGGCAGGCGGACTCTCAACCGCTGCGCCACCAGGGAAGCCCTGACCTATCTCTTGACGCCAGTGTTGACCCGCATCACCAGGCACGGGGAACAGGCCAGTGTAGGCCCCCTGTAGGCTCAGAAGTTGTCCTACCACTTTTTAACTTTTTGTCTGGGGTAATCTGCATCTTGAGGGAAAACTTCATCCTTCCATGGAAATCAGCAAACCTTTTCCTAATTTCTTTCTTATTTTTTTATAAATTTATTTATTTTATTTTATTCATTTTTGGCTGCGTTGGGTCTTCGTTGCTGCATGCAGGTTTTTCTCTAGTTGCGGAGAGCGGGGGCCACTCTTCGTTGCAGTGTGCGGGCTTCTCACTGCGGTGGCTTCTCTTGTTGAGGAGCACAGGCTCTAGGTGCACGGGCTTCAGTAGTTGTGGCTCGCGGGCTCCAGGGTGCAGGCTCAGCAGTTATGGCGCACGGGCTTAGCTGCCCCACGGCACGTGGGATCTTCCTGGACCAGGGCCCGAACCCGTGTCCCCTGCATTGGCAGGCGGATTCTTAACCACCGTGCCACCAGGGAAGCCCCCCTAATTTCTTAAGTTGAATTGATCCACAGACCTTTCCACCTCCTCATTTCACGTGTTGGCCCTGCCTCCTCACTCTTAGTTTCTCCAGTAAAAACATGGTTTTCCACAATTTTACCCAGACTTCCATCCATGCTTGTCAAACAGGGCCCAGGATATGATTATAGAGGCTGAGCAGCCAAAGGAGAACAGGGAGAAAGTTCCTTCTCTGTCCCTAGAGATGGGAGCCGGGGGAGAGAGTCAGGGCCTGGCTGCTCAGTTGACCCCAAGAAAAGGAGCCTGCGGGAGGTATTGGGGAGTTTGGGGGGATAAGGCTGGTGCGGTGAAGGCCTCCTGAGCTTGGAGCGGGGGTAGAAGTCCAGGGACAGGGAGTGGCCACCCATCCCTGGGACAGTTTTCCTGAATGGCCCGGCAGACTGGGAGCTGCGGCATCAACAGCCAATCTCCTGGACGACGTGGAGGGCCACACTTGTGGTGAGGCGGGGAGGGCAGGGAAGTCGGGGCTCTGAGTTGCCTGTGATGGGTGGTCCTCCAAGAGGAGGGCCTGGGTGTTTCACAGGTGAACCCAGACTGTAAAGGAGGGGACACTCAACCTGGGGGACATATCAGGGTTGGTGGGAAGGCGACCCAAGGAAATGGGTCCCCCCCACCGACTTGGTCCATATTGCCTCTCCCTTCCACTCCTGAAAAGGGGCCCAGCCACATCTCCACCTAAATCTTTACCTGGAGCACAAAGCGCCGAGTGCTGTCTCTGGGGAATATTCTCTGGGGTGTGAGGGGACAGACAGGCCCACCCACAGGGAAGGGCCTCCCCTTGAGAACCACGCGCTGGGCAGTTTCAGTGTCTGAGGCCCAGAGGCCTCCCAGCGTTCATTCAGTCCCTCCCAAAGGCATGTGGGCCAGCAGACACTGCCTCAGACCTTCCCAGGCCCACAGCTGAACCCTGATCCTCAGGCCTCAGAGCAGAGGAGCCCTTTGGTGGTCAGGAGACATCCAGAAACAAGGGCTAGAAGGGCCTTGGAGGTCATCTGGACAGTCCAACTTCCCCGTCTCATGTTATAGATGAGGGTACTGAGGGAAGAACTTGTCCAAGGCCTCAGAGCTCATCGATAGAGACAGAGCAGCAGCCAGGGGTCCTAACCCCACACCGTGCCCAGTTGCCCCTCACCAGACCCGCGCATCGCTCCCGGGGACCAGCGTGTGCCCCGGCAAACAAGGGTGGAGAGAGTTGGCTCAGCTGTCTTGCCCAGCCTGGGAGACGTGCCTGAGTGAGGCCCTGCAGGGTGGAGGGTGAGGTGCTTTCCTCTGCTTTTCAGACGAAGACATCCGGGGAAGGCGACAGGAGGTGCCCAAGGTGGGGGAAGCACTAAGGGAAGGACAGTAAGAGGTAAAAGGGCAGGACTGCCCTGCCCCACACCCCACAGGGTGGTCCTCCCCGTGGTCCAGAGGCATCAGGCTCAGGCACCTAGATGGCACAGGTCCGGGGCTTTTCCTCTCGTTTTTATGGCGGGGGACGTGTGCATGGGGGAATTAGTGTTTTGCATTATTTATTCTTTTGACGAAAGATAATCACACCTGCCTATGCCAGATGCTAGGAACAGGAAAAGAAAAACCAGCTTTGACCTTGAATAGTTTACAGCACAGTTGAGAAGAGAGTCCAGGATGCACACAGCACACTAAGAACAATTTAAGAAAAACTGAGATGGCCTCACCCGGCCACGTCCACTCAGAACTCTGCCATTGCCTCTTGGGTGTTGGTGGTGGGGAAGATGAGGGAGCGGCCCCTCTCAAGACAGCTGTTTCTGGCTGGAGCCATGGGCCTCCAGGCTGCTTTTCCTCCTCTTTCCCAGTGCATCCCTGGGGAGGAAACAGGGAATGTCAGCACCTCCTCCAGGGCTCAGGGGAACCAGTCCCTCTTTCAGCCCCTCCCCCATCAGGAAGCTGCCTGCCCACCCTGCCCGCAGCCGCTGTCCTGGTCCCAGGGGTCAGCTATCTACAGGGCTTTCTTTTTTTGCGGTGCGCGGGCCTCTCACCGTCGTGGCCTCTCCTGTCGCGGAGCACAGGCTCCGGACGCGCAGGCTCAGCGGCCGTGGCTCACGGGCCCAGCCGCTCCGCGACACGTGGGATCCTCCCGGACTGGGGCACGAACCCGCGTCCCCCGCATCCGCAGGCGGACTCTCAACCACTGCGCCACCAGGGAAGCCCTACAGGGCTTTCTTGAGCTCACGGTGTGGCAGGTATGGCCCTGTTTCAGGCTATGGAGAAATACTTGCTACCCTCAGGGTAGCTGTAGTGGAGGGGTGAAACCAGGGTGGGGAGGACACAGCCAGGAAGAAAGAGTACAGGCGCCCTCTCCCCTCAGCCTGGGCGGCTGGCCTTCACATCACCTCTAGTTGACTCGCCCCCCTCCACCAGGCCCTTCCGGACCTCTTCTGTTCTCTCAGGCTCTCCTCACCCATGATGCTGCACCCACGCTTCCCAGGTATCCGGAATGCTGAAATAAAGCCAGCCGAAGGGAGGACCCCCGCCTCCCGTGCAGTGTCGCTACCGCTTCCTTCCCACTGGCCCCCCGGGAAACGTGCTGGCCCAAAGCCACCCCTTATCAGGACCTTCCTCATCATTTCTTTCTTTCCTGAATCTTCCAGCTTTTCCCTTTCCTTCCTCAGGTCTACATCCTCCTCGTCCCATCTTAAAAATCAAGAGTCCTCAATATTTTCCGTCATCACCCAGTTTGCAGAAAAGTGCAGCCTCCTTCACCCATTGCCAGCTGGCCCCCTCACCCCCACCCCCAGACTGACTCAGGATCACCTGCCAGGTCCTGGGCCTTTTCCTGTTCTGCATCCTCTGGTGCTGTCTCTGCACGCCATGCCCATCGTCTCCCCTGAAACTGCCCTCCCTTGGCTCCTGTGGCCCCAGGAATCCTGGATCCCCTTTCTCTCTACCGTTGATTCTCTGTGTGCTTTTGGGCTCCCGTGGCTCCTTCCACTCCCTCAATCCCAGCTCTCCCCGTAGCTCTGGGCTTGACCCTCTTCAAAGTCTCCTTACTCCCTCTCCCTAGCGGTGCTACCAGCCTCTCTTACAGCATCAGCAATACTTTTGTGCAGTTGGCTCCCAAATCTGAATCTCCATCTTAGTTCTCCAAATCCACTCCATAGCCCCAGCTGTGCCCACAATGGTCTTTCTAGCCCTGGCTGTCAACTCACTGAAAGCTAGACAGTCCCACTTCTGATTTCCCCAGTTCATTTCTCTTCTTTATTCCTCGCATCACTGCCCTGGCAGACTCTCATCACCTGGTTAACAGCTGCTGGTCTCTTCACTGCCCCTGCTCTGTTCACCCATCACCAGGACACCACTATAGTTCCATTTCTCCCTTGCTCTCTGAATGGGTCTTCCAAGTGAAGGTTCCTCAGCTTGGTGTGGGGATCCCACCAAATTCTGATCCCATTTTACTTTTCTGCCCCTACAGGTGCCCTTGGTGTAGCTCAGCTGGGCTACCGCTGTGCCACAGAACAGGCCAGGCACCCAGGCACACCTCTCAGCCCTTCACAGACGGCTGCTTCACCCCACCCGCCCCCCTCCATCTCTAGCTGCCAGAGTCCCTGCTGTTTTGCAAGTTGGAATGTTTCTAGGAGCTTGGATTGGTGGGTGTGACCGCAGGCAGAGTTCCAAGGCTGACATAGAGTCCCTGGGGGAAGGAAAAGGCTCCTGTCTTTAGAAGCTTCTGCCCAGAACCATCTCTCCAGGAACCAGTGGTGAGGAAAGACCCCTGGGCTCCACTGAAAAAGACTTCTCCCATCCCTTTTTCCTGCCAGATGCAGCAGTTTCTCCTCGCCGGAGACCATCTGACCCGGTAGAGGCACCCAGAGAGCAAACCGGCCCTCCGCTGAAGAGCCCAGCTGCAGCCGGACGGATGGTGCTTGAGTTCTGAGGCCCAGTGGTTCTCCAGCCACAGTCCAGCCCAGCCACTGCCACTGCCACTTCCCAAGAGACTTAGAACTTCGGAGTTGCATGCTGTGATTGGAGGAAGGGCCTGAGGGTGGAGGCAACAGCCAACCACAGTCCCTTTCGTAGCCAGGCTGTTCTATGGGGAACGAGTGGAAATGTAGGCTCTAACCCCTCTTCTTAAAAAACAAACAAACAAAAAAAAACACCCAGAAAACTGGCAAAGGTTGGAGTACCCAAAAGGGGAGGATGATCCTACCAGAGGCTCGTTGGCCTGAAGGTGGAGCCCCTGCCCCCCTCTTGTCCTGGTCTCTCCTGTCGGGCCACAGACACTGCCTGATCCCATACCCCCATCTGCAGCTCCCTTCTGGGCACCTAGGGTCCTTTATTCCCATGGCCTTCTGCATCTCAGTCTTTCCCCAGGGGTGCTGGTCCTTGGCACACCCCTGCACGGAGCTCTGGGTGAGAAAGCCCTGGGCAGTCACTCGGGCCCGCTCTGAGGAGTGATGGGCCACCGCAGAGAGGTATCTGCTGAGTACCCTGCCTGGGCCCCTCGGGCTGCCTCTCTTAGGTGCTGGCAAGGGCCCCCAGCAGGGATGGGGAGGCTGGCCACCCCGGAGCTGGCGGATTCTAGCTAGGCAGGGGTAGTGTTTACTCTGACAGAAGACTAAAGTCAGTTCTGGATGGGATCCTGTAGTCCCACGACAGTGGGGGCTCCAGGGGCTCTGACTCCCCAGTTGGACTAGAAGTTCTGCTGTCATTAAGGGTGGGCAGCGGCCAGTTCTTTAGTAACCCTGAGAAGGTGTAGGTCTGAGGGGCAAGAAGGAGAGGCTGCCAGCCGGGCCAGAGCCTCTGGGGCACAAGGGCTAGCTGGGTGCCCCTTGCCAAGAGTGAGAAGGCAAATGGCCAGGAGGAAAACAAGGGTCCTACGAACCTGACCCGGCACCGACCACTGCCAACGGGAGGGAGGGAGGGAGGGAGGGGCAGCCGGGCTTCTGTGGCCCAGCTGGAGGCGGGAAGGCGCCGACCTCGGGGGGAACCGGGGAGCCGGGCAGGCAGGGGGCTAGGGCCCGAGCGGGGAGCCAGCCCAGCGGCACGGCGGTGGGGCGTTGGGAGCGGGCGCCAAGCCTGGTGGAGCTTGGTGGCCGTAAGCCACCTCGAGGTAGTGAGGGCGTGGCGGGCTCCCCGCGGTGCCGGTGCCGGAGGGGGACCCTGGCCCGGCTCAGCATCCCGAGCGAGTGCGGAAGTGCTGCCGCCCTCCAATCCCCACCGCCCCCCAAGGGCCCCCGCTGACCGGGCACAGAAGAGGGGGAGCGCCAGTCGCCCTCCACCCCCACCCCCCGTCCGTGTGTGTGGCTTTGTCAGTTCTTTTGTTTTTGTTTTTTCTCCTGCGTGTGGGTCTTATCTTGGAGCAGTTTCATAGGAATTCGTGTAATAAAGACTCGGTGTTCTCTTGGTGCTCTGACGTGGCGGCGCGTGGGCTGATCCTCCTCCTGCCCCTCCCCCTGGCACCCCGCGCCCGTGGGCCGCCTGCCTGGCCCACCCGCAGTGCCCGCGGGGCCCCGGGGCTCGGCATCCCCGCAGCGCCCCCTCAGGTGGCCCCTGTGCCGCACCGCAGCCTCGCCCACCTGCTGGCGCTGTCCGCCTTCCTGTTTGCCTGGGAAAGTAAGTAAACCGCTTGCTGACAGGCCAGGGAAACACCAGTCTGTTGCGAGAGCTCCAGCCGGTCACCTTCCTAAATAAACAGAAAGCTGCCAGAATAACGTCTCGCCTGGAGCTGCGGGGATGTGTAGTCTCAGGCTTCAAAGGGCCCGCAGACATCTTCCAGTTCAAACCCCTCTCGCTTTACCTACTCCCAGGCTTCGGTGAACTACCACCCGCGCCAGGGAGCTCACTGCCAAAGGAGGAGGCTGGTGCCCTTTTCAGACAGGGCGGTTTTCAAGGTTAAAAAGTTCTTCCTGGTGTTGAGCTGTGGGCCTCCTTGTGGCTTCAACCCGCACAACTTATTTCTGGGCTCCGAGTCACCCAGGCCAAGTCACTGCTTTTCCTCTGATGCCATGATTTTTTGGTTTGTTTTTGTTTTTAATACTTATTTGCTTATATTATCATTTACTTGGCTGCACCGGGTCGTAGTCACGGCACGCGGGATCTTCGTGGTGGCATGAGGGATCTTTAGTTGCGGCATGTGAACTCTTAGTTGCAGCATGTGGGATCTAGTTCCCTGACCAGGGATCGAAGCTGGGCCCCTTGCATTGGGAGCATGGAGTCTTAGCCACTGGACCGCCAGGGAAGTCCCCCCTTCCCCATGCCACGTTTGAGTTCAGTGGCCTTTCTCCTGGATAAAAAATGCAGGTTCTTCCTGCCTCCCCTACAAAAATGTTCTGCCCCCACCCCTGCCCTGCCCCCAGCCCAGGTAGACCCAGGTGAGCTTGTAAATTGACG